TTCGTTCAACTGCCATGGAATTCAGCATAAGAGGTCATAAAAGAATAGTAAGTCCTTTTGCTGTAGAAGGGTACTTGAAAGTACCTGCCTGCACTTTGGAGATAAAGCAAGAAAGTTCCTGTGGAAAAGCAGTTATTAATTCAAATGTCATTTTATCAAAATTGAGAGGCTGGTCATTCTGATGGATTTTATGGTTTCTCACAAGTTATTTCCACAGGTGGCCTCACTAACCAAGAAAAACACTAAGACTGGTAATATTTTAAACTTTACGGGACAAAAACTTCAAATGTTTTGTGACTGCTTTTTTATCCTTTCTTCCTAGAGCCTTTTCAATGGAATCCTTTGACAATTTAAAGCTTCCTTTTTTGTAAATAGCTGCGAATGTGCAGTAGAAGGAAGACACTTCTTCCACCTGTGGAAAAAAACCCTATGTATTGGTTTAAGTGGGGTTGCATTTCAACTGTCAAAACTGTCCTGATGTGAATTCATACAAACTGAAAACTGGCAAAAATTGAACTGAAAATAGATGATATTGATCATTCTCAAGCTACAGTTTTGGGTTTAAAATTTTTTATCAAGATGGCAATATGATGTATTATTTGATTTTTGTGGCCTCACTTTAAAGCCAACGGTAAGGATAAGGTTAAAAGGGCTTGAGAGTAAGAAAACTTTTTTTTTTTTTTTTTAATTGTAAAACAGAAGGGCAAGGGCCTTATAATTTAAGCTGTTCTGCAGTTACTCAGATACAGTTAGCCATTAATGGGAAGAGCATGTGTTCTTTGCTAAGTAAATACAGGGCAACCTGTCAAATCGACAACTTGAACTTGAGTTTAAAACTGTATCAGCAGCCTCGGCCATCAATAAAACCTTATTAAAGCATTTTAGATTTTGTTCTGGGATAGAGCAGAAGTTGTACTGAAAATGTGGTGTCAGTGGTGTTGAAAGGAAGCTGTATTTTCAGTTTTCCTGCATGAAGCAGGGACCTTTCCACTCTGAGGATGAACTCCTGGTGCTGTTAACTTAGTAGTAGGGTTGTATTTCTGTAGTGTTAGGGGCTAAGAGCTGAACCCCACCTCAAGCTTCGCTTTGTTCTGATGATGGTTTAAACGAGAAAATGATTTCCCCCCCTGCTCTGTACACCTATAGATGCTTTTTCCTTTGTCCAGAGGGTAAGAACAGAGCATTATGTGTTGTTAAAAGTACACAGACCAAAATTATGTATTCCTTGAGGCATTCAGCTCTGAATACTGCTTACAAATTCCAATATAAAAATGGTCTCTAGACACCTGTGTAGCAAAAAGCAGCACTTGCTACAGAAATACTGGCATGTGCATTTCTATATGTATTTTCCTGGTTGTTTTCATCTCCTAGCATTTATGTAGTAAGCTGTAGCTTAAAAATGTATGGAAAACAGCATAAAATATTTTCACTGCTTCCAGGCTGTACCTCATGATTTACACATTATTACCCTGTGGTTAGTCCTGTGATTCAGAGGTACCTTATTATGCAATATGTTTAAGAATTAATAGAAACCTTTTTGCATTTGAGTAGGAAATACATTGTTTGCATTAGGCTTTTGAAGTTGTTCATTGGTCTAGGTACTGTAGCTTGTGTCAGCTTTTTTGACTGGCAGAAGTCTTAAATGGGTATGTGTTACAAGGATTCTGGCTGTTATGATTCTGGTAAAAGCTTTTCAAGCAAGTATTAAGGATGCAGTCAAGCTCTACTGCAGTAATAGACTCCTGAGAAAATGCTTCTGAAGGCTTTGCATCCCCAACCTATGGCATTCAGCCATAGGTGTCTAAATTCATCCTACAGGACAGACTGTGAGAAGCAAACTTGGCTCATGTAATTTCATGCCGCCTTTTCTTACAAGAGTCCAAGGCCATCTGTGTGTGTGGCACTGCTCCCATCTGAGCTGTGTCTTTCTGACAGAGGTGTGCCTGTCATTTAAGAAGGTACAGTGAGCCATGAAACATTGATTTGACATAAAACAGACACTGAAGCTGCACCCAAGGAACTGACGGGTAGGTGGGTTAACCAGCTCTAGCCTCTGGGTGCATGTTACACTGGCAGGAGAGCAGAATACCTGAAGGCATGGACCAGGTCACACGCCACACAGGGATAATGCCTGCAGTCTGTATCTATAACTGTGTAGTGGTGGATAAAGCAAATACTAATTGCTTTTCCTTATTATCCAACAATAAGGTGAATGCTTTACCCACAAATGAGTCAGCATGATGCTTGGTTGGATTAATCATGCAGTCTTTATCCCAGTACTGTGCGTAGGTAGTGACTCCTATGTGGTGGTTATGTTGAGTTCACAAACCTGAGCTGTGCTCATCCAGTCATCTGTTTGCATGTGTTCAGAGTGGTTGATGAGGTTTTAATAACTTGCAGGTTCCTAGTCAAAACTGAAAGGAAACTAGGTAAGTTGTAAGAAAGAGCTAAGCTAATGACGCTATTCTTTTCAAAAAAGGTTCCCTGTTAACAGATTCCTTATTTTGGGACTTTGAAAATAGTAAAAAACGGACAGCGGAACATCTGTTTTGTGAACTTTGGTTTGGGTCAAAATTCAAATTCAAGCTAAAAATTATCAAAACTGAACTGAATCTAAAGAGAGCCAACTAGCATTATAGGGATCTGTACTTATTCCAGACTCAGACCTGCTTACAGCAATCATATAGTACACTGTTATTACAAGAAATTTGTTGAATTAAGAGTGGTTGACCTTCATTTCTTAGTGTTATGTAAAATGTCACTGTCAGAACCTATCTGGGAAGGATCATTAGGAAAAGTATTAATTTAAAACTGATTTTCTTTGCTGTAGGTCATAAACTGCAGCTTTCATTTTTATTATTCTTTGGAATCCAGACATCCTGCACTTAGTCTGAGAACCAGACCATCAATCAAAGGATATGCCTGGAGTATGCCATTCACTGGGAGCAGACACACGCCTTTTTGAATGTTTGACCATGCTGGCAGTTCTAAAAGGAAAAATCCTAGTTTGTTTGCATAGTAATTCAGGCTCAGTTGTACTTCTGGCCTTTTGTACAGAGAAATGGTGAGAACGGACAGTTAAGAATCCTTTGCTCTTTTCTTGTCTCCCAGCTTGGCAGTATAAGCTCTGGTGCTTCTCTGACTGGAGGGTTATCTTTGCATTTGATCAGTCTTTTATAGACTCACCTTCTGACCAGAAACAGAGACTAAGCAACAGCAGGCAGTCTTTTTCAGGTAGTTTCTGTGTTCAGCAGCTACTTACCACAAGACACATGGCTAATATGGGTTCTGGTCTAGGGAGAAGAGGAGGAATGCCTTGGTATCAGTGCCAGGGAAAGTCATGTAACTAAAGGTGTAAATATACGTAGTACAACAAAGTTGTTTGTTAGTGTGAGAACAGATATTGAAGTAACTAAGCTATTGTTTCCTCCAGGCACTAAGAAATACTGTTTCACTTGCACCAGTTTTGTCTGACCAAGTTCAATTAACCCGTCACCTAAAGGCTGTTCCAACCTAAAGCTCTTGCTCTGTGTCATTCATGACCTCCCATCAGCAGGCAGGCCCTCAGCCATGTCTGGGAAAGCAGGGACTTGGCATACATGGGGCCTGCTCTGATGTCGTGTTCCCACTATCAAATGCTTTATGCTAGTTAGTGCTTTGAGCAATTAATTGTGGATTTGATGTGTACTCATTCATCTTGTAGCTGTTTCTTACAGTAAGTGAAGAGGGCTGTGATGAAGCCCATGTCTTGTGATGACGACAGTGAGATGCACAAGCACAGATCACTGACAGTGAATTTAATTACTTGTAATTAAAAAAGAATGAATTTCCACTATTGCTGGCTATAAAACATGTTCTGTGTTAGTAATCCTAAACAGTCTCTGAACTCAGCATTTGCATATGGACAGAAACAGTTCCTGTATGTGACCTCTGACATGAAGTGCTGGATCTGATTGCACGAGGAGTGATGAAACGTGAGCACATTTGTACGGAAAATGCAGTAAGCCCTACCTGGTAGCTGAATTTGATACACATCTTCTGTGCTCAGTGGCCCTGTGATAGATGAGCTCCTTTCTAGAAACAAACTACACTTAAAGCACCCGTGACACCTACAATAGCCGTAGTGGTCAAGGAAGGGAATACTTGAGGAAATGATCCACTTAAAAACAGGATGTGTGGTTTCTTATCAGAAACTTGAGCCTTCATAGGGAAAAAGCATACCCGTGCCTGCTCCTGTCCTAGGGCAAGCATTGGGTTTTATTGCCTTTTATGGGAAATGTGTCATCCCCTTCAGTTTTTGTGGGAAAGCCTAGAGCAGAACTGCAGTAATCATATACCTGTGTTTGAAGAAATACCAAGTTTCTGTCTGCTTTGGGGAGGTCAGGAGAGTGAGGTTGCATTTTTCTGTAGTGAATAGAACTAAAATTAACAATACAATGCTTCAAGAGTTGAAGCAGACGAAAAATGCAAAGCATCACAAGCTGATGCTTCAGAATCTCTGTATATACTGTGTTAAAGGTGAAGCACCTGGAACCACAACATAACCCTGACAAACTGGGATTAGTAGGGATACGGAATAAGCATTAACAAAATATGAAGAATGTGATGGAATTGTGAAGTCTCAATATGTTGCATATTACTTATAAGACTCTAACTAAAGTCTAGCAAATACTTTCTATTGCTTTAATTCTGACTGAACTAAATTTACAGGTCATGATCCAAATTTAACCAGGCTACTTTTTAACCCACACTCTTGTGCCTTTGCTCCTTGTGCCTTTGTGTTAACACAGTTGTAGAACTCAACCTGCCAAAAACTAACAGCAAGCAGCGGGTCTTCACACAAAATAAGTCTAGAACCAAAGGCATAGTTTGATGTACCAGGATACAAATGTTGGATCTAAAACCAGCTTGATTTTACCCTACTACAGGATTTTTTTTCTTTGTGAACACAATGAAGATACCAATACCAGGCTGCTTATAAGACAGGCATGACTACACAATTGCTTATACTGGCTTTATTTACTGTTTACCCAATTCTGGAATTTTACAATCCTTCCTCAAGCTAGCACACATGCTAGTTGTAATCTAGTGACATTCTATAATTATTCACAGTAATGGAAAATAAAGTAAACTCTGCAACCATTAAGACCATAAAAGAACTTGGACCTGCTTAACACAGCCAAACAAATAGCAGCTTCTCTAAATGAAACACTGTCTATTTAAAATGTTTTACTTAATTAACAATAAATTAATCTGTGAGATCACTGATCAACAGAATACTAAAGATAGCGTGCAGACTGTCTACATACTGATCAGACAGGCAACATCGGTACCTTGATAAAAAATGGGGAGATGGTAATGAACTTATATACATACATCATTTTCAACCATACAAACAACACTGAGCAGAAAAAAATGTACTTTCACATTTGCCCAGTTTTTCTATTAAATAAAGCAATAATAAAAAGCACAGCATCACAATCATCTGTTTAAAACTCTAAATACTGAGTACTGGCATAATGCAGTGCTCAAAGAGGAATGTGCAAAAAGAAACACCTGGATTTGCACTTTGATTCTTCAGTGTATAGAATTAACACCAAACACGCACAAACCCACAAATGTTCCAGATTCCACTGTCAGGGAGGGGGAAAACCCAACAAAAGAAAAGCATCTGACAAAGCTGTTCTTTCAGCCTGTGGCACCATTTGGAATATCTTGAGCATCTGCTAAATGTAGTTTTTGTCTGAATCAGACATTAAGGAATAAAAATTTCACATATAGATAAGGTATAAACAAGATAGCAATGTTACATAAAACTCTGCTCAGTCGTGTGACAGGTATGCGTCAGTCCAATGACTTCAGTTCCTTTGTGTCCTATGCTAGTTTCCAGCCAGCAGATTAATCTTTCTCAGTAAGATGTAAGTATTACATACCTCCAGAATTAGTTGGCAGATGAAGGGGGATGGCAGATTATTTTTATCACTATTACGTGATATTACTGTCACAGTATACTTGTGTTCTTTATAAGGCCTAGCCTTAAACAGCTTTCCACAGAGAATGTATATACCAGAGCCATATCTTCAGTCCCACCTCCCTCAATGCATATGAAGTGTGTAAACATCAGAAATAACCAGACCACAGTATAAACTGAATGCAACACTCCTCAGCTCTGTTCTTATCAAAAATATGGTGTAAAAGACAAGCTAAGAACATTCAGCTTTATCTTCTTCTGGGAGGGCTTATCCAATTACCAAAGCTCAGCTGAAGTATTTGACTCAACCATAGTCTGACCTTAGAAATAATTAATTAGGTCAGTACACAATGCACATTAAAATCAGTGTAAATAGCTACATGTACTTCTAGGAAAAAAATAAAAAGCAATAGGACTCAGAATGCTTCTGTGTACTATAGAGGGAAGATTTTTGTGTATGTTTGTTCCAGGATATCTCAGCTAGACACATATAGAAGGACTGTGCTTCTGACAGACTCTGCCACTGACTGTCAATGCATTGTCTGAAGTGGTACACACTAGCTAAGTGAATCACCGTATGAAAAAGCAGCCTGTAATTAAAAGTGTTAAGATCCAGCTATTTATGCAGAATCACCTAGAATCGTGAGGTATTACGGTACCAGCTTAAAGGATGTTATTGAGCAATTTGTTTCCTGTAAAGACACTAGTTACTGGGGAAATACACTGTAATTCAATTATAGTACACAATAATTATAATGCAAAATAGACATCTAAGGAAAGGATACATAGATGAATTCAGTTCTTCTAGCTGCAATATAAATATAGAAATTATCAGTAACAGCATTTCAGTTAGTCAAATAAATGCTGATATGGTGAAATAATTACATTAAACTGGTGAGAAAATCACTAGTAGTTTGGGCTAAAATGTGTAATTTTATTACTAAAAGCAATGCAAACCTGAACTGAATTCTATACCAGGGCTCAGTCCCAAATTAGGTTTCAATCTGCTGATCTCAGGAAATTCAAAGAAGTTTAAAAACAGAAAGGAGAAATTGAAAGTGTAGAATTTTTGCTATGTGTGGTCTTCCACACATTATTTTTATATATATTCTATATATAGGTTTTGCATATAAATATATATATTATATATTTTATAAATATATGCTTTATATATATATATATAAAATTATAATTGGGAGGATGGGCCACAGGGAAAATAGTTGTAGTTCCCAGATACATGGGCTGCCTCTAAACATGCCTGAAACCTCAGACAGTTTACAGCTAGACTGCTCCACTCACTCAAACAAGCAGCAGCCTATAAAAACAGAACAAGGTACCATGTTTCCTCAAAACTAACATGAGGGCAGGACTTACATCTTGGCTCATTACAGAGCTATATCCTCCTCAGCTGTACATCACTGCTCACCCAATAATGTTGTTTCCCTGAGCTGAGTGCTATGGGCAAAGTTCCATGTTTTCTGCCTACCCAGTACTTACATCTGACAGCAGCCTATCCAGGTTGGAGTCACTGGCTAGTTTTCTTTTATCTTCAGGGAGTTCTTCCAGCTCTCCATAGAGCTCCAGGTTGAGGCGAGCAAGTTTCTCCTGCATACTCCGCACATGCTCCATCTGCTCTATGGAACATTCATTTCCTAAAAGGATGAGCAATATCACAATGATAAAGAAACCCAAGAGAGAAAAATGAAGGTGCAAAGGTGTAACTTTTTACATCACAGAAGAGGCATTTAAACATCAAATTTACAAGTTAATTTGCTTTCTCACTGATTTCTCCCCATTTCAGTGCTGAAGTTTGTCATCTGTCTGGTTTTGAGATAACTACTGAATGAACTAACTGGGTTTTAAAAATGTGTTTTTTCTCTACTTCTGAATTTCTGTGAAATTAGGAAGGCCCTAGTTTTTAACTTTGAGTATAATCACAATAAATGTCCTTTCTAATTTTGGTTAATCTTGGGGTTTGTTCCTTGTAATTGACGGCTTATATAACTCTTCTCAGGTGCTCTTGTAAAAATCACTGTGGAACTAACATGACATGCCGACCTAACACTAAAGTTGCAAATGCACGTATGCATCTTTCTACTTAGTAGAGAGAAAAGAAGGAGGCAGAAGAGCATCATGGTTTTTCTGAACCCTCCATCGACTTGTGAAGTAGTAAGAAGCTAAGACAGAAGAGCAAGCTGGGTAAAATGCAACTTGTATTGGATTCCATAAAAGTTGTTACCAATAGTGTTAAAGTGTTAATATGTTACATAAGTGTTATCAGGTGCTAAATACAGTTACTTTTTATTATTCTTACACTTTCAAAAATAAATGGCTTGAAACTTGCTATCTTAAATCCATAAGCCAAGGTATTGCCTTTGGAAAGCCATGCTGGAAGGAACAATGAAATGGCATTTGAATAATCTCACACCAAAGACGACCCTAAAATAGGACTATAATTTAAAAATGCAGTAAGACCTATTAATTATAGAATCATAGAACTGTTAGGGTTGCAAAGGACCTTAAGATCATCTAGTTCCAACCCCCCCTGCCATGGGCAGGAACACCACCCACCAGACCATGTAACCCAAGGCTCTGTCCAACCTGAACAAGGATGGGGCATTTACCACTTCTCTGGGCAAGCTGTTCCAGTGCCTCACCACCCTCACAGTAAAGACCTTCTTCCTTGTACCTTATAATATATCCTTATATCTTCCTTATGTCTTATACCTGAACTTCCCCTGTTTCAGTTTATCCCTTGTCCTATTGCTACAGTCCCTGATGAAGAGTCCCTCCCCAGCACGCCTTGTAGGCCCCCTTCAGATACTGGAAGACTGTTAAATTTCATTTCATATGGTGGAGTCCACTATTGTTAACGTGGCAGCCTGTCTGTACAGCAGCACACTTGCTTGCAAATGTTACCATCATACAGGTATAAAAACATACAAACATTGCATACAGACAACTCAGACACTTACCAAATGCTTGAAGTTTGCCAGAGTGGAAATCATTCAGGAGACTCAGAAGTCCCCTTTCCATTTCCTGGACATCAGATACATCTGTGAGAAAAGAATGCTGGATTGGTGCTGCCTGTGCCCCTTTTGCTTCGCCTCCTGGAGGTTTGGCTTTCTCTTTTATTACTCTGGAAAAATACAAACAAACCAAAAAGATTACTTCCTGCTTTCACTTTCCCTGAGAATCTGAATGTAAGATAAATGTACATCTGGGTTTTGAAAATGAAATGGAAAATAAGTATATGTTTCAATTACTCCATTTAAATTAAAAATACAGATTGCCTGTTTGCCTGAAGATTAAAGAACAACATCGCTATCTTGACAGCTTGGTACTGCAGAATGAAAAATTCCAATAACCTGCTTTCTTACTAATAAGTACTGGGAAACATCAGTGAAGCACATGTGTGTTATGGCCACCTTAATACGCTAAAGATGACCAGCAGTGACACAAAAAAGGCATCTGCAAACTCTCTTCAAGTCAGAGGGAAAAACCCTCAGCAAGCATATGCTCCTGTTCTCACAAACACCTATAGACTGCAACCAGCCTGGAAAACAACTTGCAACAATCTATACAGGAAGGTGACCTTGTCTCCAGGTAAATTTTCCTAGTTCCTATCCATATTAATGTGTAATTGATATGGAAGCTAAACACACAGTTACAGCTGGACAGCCAGATATACTGCATCCTAACCTAATACAATTCAGGTAAGGGGCTGTTTTCAGCCCTGATTTGCCCATCCATGCATGCATGCAAGCAGCCTCTCTCATACGGGCATGGCTGCTTCTGCAGCCTTACAGTAAGTCTTTTCAGAACTGGATTCAGTGAGAAATTTTGATACTAAAAGTTAAAATTTAGAATACTATGGGATACTGAATAAAATCACAGACTTAATAAAGAAGCTTTATTTAATTAGTGAAGATACTAGGGTTTACAGCATACTAAGCCGCACCCTTCCCTTGAACACTTCCAAGCTCTGTAAGTCATAAATTCTTTCCTATGGGAAAGAAAAATTCTTTTTCCAGCCTAACAGTTTCTGTGATCTATAAACATCATATAGACTTCATAATCTATATGCTGGAACAACTAATGGTCCAACAATTATCGTATCTGGTTCAGCTCAGAGCAGTGTGTCTCAATTTAGGTTTAACTTTGGCTATTTCTACATCAATTTCGGACATCAAGTTAAGATTTGTGTGCCAGAAAGGTCATTGATTTTTTTTTCCCGCACCTGTATATAAGGTTTAATATAATACATTACCACTCTGGAAAACTTATTTTATTATAAAATCATAGAATAGTCAGGGCTGGAAAGGACCTTAAGATCATCAAGTTCCAACCCCCCTGCCATGGGCAGGGACACCTCACACTAAACCATATCACCCAAGGCTTCATCCAACCCGGCCTTGAACACTGACAGATATGGAGCATTCACAACCTCCCTGGGCAACCCATTCCAGTGCCTCACCACTCTAACAGGAAAGAATTTCCTCCTTATATCCAATCTAAACTTCCCCTGTTTAAGTTTTAACCCATTTACCCCTTGTTCTATCACTACAGTCCCTAATGAAGAGTCCCTCCCCAGCATCCCTATAGGCCCCCTTCAGCTACTGGAAGGCTGCTATGAGGTCTCCATGCAGCCTTCTCTTCTCCAGGCTGAACAGCCCCAACTTTCTCAGCCTATCTTCATACAGGAGGTGCTCCAGTCCCCTGATCATCCTCATGGCCCTCCTGTGGACTTGTTCCAACACCTCCATGTCCTTCTTACATTGAGGACACCAGAACTGCACACAGTACTCCAAGTGAGGTCTCATGAGAGCAGAGCAGAAGGGCAGGATCACCTCCTTCGACCTGCTGGTCACACTCCTTTTGATGCAGCCCAGGATACGGTTGGCTTTCTGGGCTGTGATCACACACTACAGCGGGATCATGTTCCTTTTTTCATTGACCAACACCCCCAAGTCCTTCTCCACAGGGCTGCTCTGAATCTCTTCTCTGCCCAACCTGTAGCTGTGCCTGGATTGCTCCGACCCAAGTGTAGGACCTTGCACTTGGCATGGTTAAACTTCATGAGGTTGGCATCAGCCCACCTCACAAGCGTGTCAAGGTCCCTCTGGATGGCATTCCTTCCCTCCAGCATATCAACTGAACCACACAGCTTGGTGTCATCGGCAAACTTGCTGAGGGCGCACTCAATCCCACTGTCCATGTCACTGACAAAGATGTTGAACAAGACTGGTCCCAACACCGATCCCTGAGGGACACCACTCGTTACTGGTCTCCAGCCAGACATTGAGCCATGGACCACAACTCTGTGCATGTGGCCATCCAGCCAGTTCTTTATCCACTGAGTGGTCCACCCATCAAATTGATGTCTCTCCAATTTAGAGACAAGGATGTCATGTGGGACAGTGTCGAATGCTCTGCACAAGTCCAAGTAGATGACATCAACTGCTCTATCCCTGTCCATCAGTTCTATTAGAGCCTTGCAGATCAGGTGAAAACTAAAATACTCCTACTCTGCTATCATAACTACAGTTCATTTTCACCTTATTGTGTCCATTCCTGCTTGGAAAGTTCAAGGAATTGTCTATACTAGCACAGCTTGCTAAACTTGACTTAATAATTGGGCAAGAAATGTCCCTTCCCAAAACTTAAAGTGAAAAGGACCTTTTCTTCTCTAGCCAGTATTGTGGACTGCACAAAATTACTTTCTAGTACATTCTATAATAGCGTTGAGGCTTGACTGTACATTAAGCTGCAGTAACCACCAACTTATAGCACAATACATTTTCCCTGAAAAACAGCAGACTTTACATTGCAGAAATTCATTACTCATCAGGCCAATACTGGATCCTTCACACAGACTATCTGTGCTTATGATGACAGTGCAGTATTTAATCTTCAGCTAATAGAGGACAGTAAACTCAGCTGCCTCTCTCTAGCTAACATTTCACTTTAAAATTCCTCTTCACTCATTTATCTACTGTACCTGCCATGGACAAGAAATGTGTTTTCTAACATTAAGGAAAATCAACACTCTCAAACTCAAACACAAACTATTCCAAGAAGGTGCTTTTTTAAGAGCTGAAAGTCTCTCTCTGCACACAAGTATGGCCTGGGAACTACTGCTGCCCCTGCTGATAGGTCCCAAAGCAAAAAAACACCAGGAAATTCCACTTCTAGCACATCCTGTTCAATTCACATCCTTCGTTTCTTGCCCTACTCATCAGTCCCATCCTTGCAGTCATGTATTTGTTCTTCACAGTTGCACGTATGTGGCTCTGCCATCTCCCACACAATGCCCACATTTGCCATATTTGATCACCCATCTCTTGTCTTTCACCAGTCCCATTAGGCTATCATCTTTTCATTTAAGCTGAAATATGAGTCTGCAGCATTGCGTAATAAAAGCTTACAAGAGGAGTGTTGAGCACCTTCCTTTTCTGTAAAATAACCATTCTGTTGTGTTAAACACAAACTGCTTTGCTAAAAAAGACGCATCATCAAAGAGTTTCACAAGTCTGAAGCTCACCCTTTACACTCTGCCCCAGCCACACGAAACACCCTTTCATCCGTCTGAACAGGGGCAGGTTTTTTGCTCCCAACTTCCCAGCTTGCAAGACGCTCCCAAGCTTACCGTTTTAACTTTGGTTTTTGTACCGCCGGCTGTGGCGCAGGATTTGAAAAGGCTGTGCTTTTACTGACCGGCACTGAGTTTTTCTTGGAGTTAGCAACCTGAGCAGGGTGACTGGTAGATGATTTGGGGCTCCTCCTCTTGATCTTCCTTTCTTCCATTGTTTCCAGTTTACTGCATCTAAACTAATCTCGTGTCCTTCAAAGGGAAAAGGAAAAAAAAGAAACATCAATTAAAACTGGCACTTACAATAAAAGCAAGGGAAAAAACAGGTCACAGTGCATGGACATACAGCTTTACAGTTTCTTCAAAGATGAGCAGTCACTCATTTATTTAAACAAGAGAAACCAGTTTTCAAAAGCTGTCCAGGCCTGCCTGGTTTGCAGAACAGGCAAGAATTCAAATCCTTACACTACCTTCAGCCGACAGGTACCTCAATACGATCTCAAGCTTTCCATCCCATAGATTACTGCTAGAAAACACCGTGACTAGTCAAGTCCATGACAGCCAACACGAGAAACGACGGTGGCATAAGAATGCTGTGATCCACCCTCACCAAACAACCTCCGCTAAAGGGAAGGCTAACAGCTTTCTCACCACTCAGCTGATGCCCGGTTATCGCTGCGGTTACACACGCATGTGGGCGGGACAGGTACTGCTCACGCTATCATACGTGCTATTATGGGCTCTAACTCATGATCTCCACACCTGGGGAAGCGCCTCCTCCGAGATCCCCCGCTGCAGGAGGCGACAGAGGGTGCCGTGAAGGAGGCACAGCGTTGTGCACCACACCTAAGGCCGCTCCCGCCTGTGGCGCGGGCGGCCCTAGGTGCTCACCGCCATTTTACAGGTACGGAGGTTCGGGACGCCACCGGCCACCCCAACGCCCGCAGAATTACAACCACCGCCCCCCGCCACTCGTTAAACGCCCGGCGAAGGGCACGCCCCGCACCCCTGGCCAGCCCCGCACCCCTGGCCAGCCCCGCCCCCCGCCCGCGCGTGGACACCCCCCCTTCCCCAGGTCTCGCCGGCTCTCACCCCTCCCCTACGGAAGCGGCGGGCTCCGGTCACATGACCGCAGTTAGGGGCGGAGCGGCCCCGGCTGCCGCCCTGCGAGAGGCATTGTGGGAGTCCCGCCCCCGGGCTCACCGTGCGGGCAGAGTGACTACCGTTCCCAGAATGCCCCGCGGCACGCTCTGCGCATGCGTAAGAGGGGCGCTAACTCCTCCCCTCCCCCCCCCCTCCAGCGCGAGGCCGGCGTAGCCGTTAACGGCCGAAAGGGGCGGGGCCGTGCTGACGAGCAGCTGGGGGCAAAAAGGAGGCTGGGGGTCTCTGCCGCGACAGCCGGCTCGCAGATGGACAGCTGTTTTTGGCTGCGGGCCCCGTCCCTTCTTGCTGCTATGGAGCCCTCCAGTGTGCACACGCGTGTCCGGCTGGTGACGGAGGCGTCGCTGGCCGTGCTGGAAATGCTGGTGAAACAACGAATTCCATAGCTCTAAAACGCGAGAAACGGGGGGAGAGCAGAAACGGGTTGTCGCCGCCTCAGCAGTAGCGTCTTCTGTGCTCCTTGAGACATTCGGAGATCTGTGTTTGTCGCCTACAGAGAGAGTAGCTCGAGCGTGAATGGTTTTGCAGGTTACAAGGTTTAGGGACAAGCTGCCATCAGTGGCGAGTCCTGTGCCCCAGAGGGCAGCACCGCTTCGCGCTCCGGAGCGCTTTCAGCCTCGGCCGTTCTTAGCCTTCCCCCTCCCCGGCTGTGAGATCCCTTCAGCAGTAGCAGCGGTAGGTAACCGTGTGATAGACACGGACGACCTGCTTTTCTGTCATACAGCTTCACCACCGCAACAGACGTTCCGGGGGAGGAGAGGAGAATACTGAGTCAAGTTAAGATGCGGGTGACCCTGCTGCCGTGTTCAGCTTGATGCAGCCTTCAGTCTCTTCCCAACCTTGGTTCCAGCCCTGAGCAGTTGTCTTGTAGGAACGTAATTTTCAAGGCAGGTGATACTGGCAGGGCATGCCTACCTCGCCTTATTAATTAATACCAAGTCTGTTTCCCAATGCTGTCGCTCTTGTGGGGGAACTCAATTGCATTTGTGGTCATTGCTTATCTCATCAGTGCTTCCTGGCTTTGTGGACTGGAATGCTTGGTACATCTTTCCCAGCTGCAGCTGGTATTTCATGGTGTTTTTTACTCAATGTGGCAGTAGTTTGTTGCCTAGCAAGATGAACTTATAAGTCCTTTCTGCAATTTGTGTCTCAATTGGAATATCTTCTACTTGCAACAAGACCTTGTTTTTTACCTGAGAAACATGTTTGTGTGTGTTTTCTGACATAAACTGTAAGACATTACTTACCAGCTGTGAAAGGCGGTATAATCCTCATCAGACAGAGTGAAAACATCAGCCAGAAGCTTTTGCTGGTGTTTGCAAGGGTATGTCTCTATAAAAAGCTATGGCATAGCTTAACAGATATGCAGCTAGGATGCACTCGTACCTCTGTCTAAACCTTGTGCGATACCAGAAACTGATTCCCTACTTGTATCCTGATCTGAACCTTCTTACGGATCTTGAATTATACTGAAGGGGCTATTAGATATAACAGTGCTTCATCAAGACTTATGTGGGACACTGCACCAGTGAGACTGAGCGGTCACTCCGAGTCCAGAAAGTGGTGCTGTTAAAGGGAGATTGTTTGCAATGACTCTTAGGTGAAGGACTAGGACTAAATGTCCACTGAAGGTAACTCTGCACAGAAAAGTGATTCCTTGCAGCAGGATACAGCTTGGGTCTGATGTGCTGGATCAGTTCTGATACATTATGAACAGTTCTGTTGCAAGGGAGCCATACTGGTGATACAGTGACAGTTCACTTGTACAATAAACAGTCTATGGGTGTTTACCTGTAGGCTACAAGTCTCAAAGAAAAAAGGCCTGGGTGAGAAGAAAACTCTACAACACTGGAGACAGATCAAACAAGAAGGTGGTGGTACAAGTCTGAAGGGGCAAACAGGGAAGCAGGAATAGTTTTTTATCATCTTTTTTATTCCTTAATACAAAAAGTGTATGATATCTAGTTTGGCACACTAGCAAAAATCACACAGGCTGTAAGCCAGTTACAAATTCTCAGACACAGGGCTGCCCAAGTAGAATCATTCACACGCATACATATGTGTGTATATGTATTCGGGTGGCTACAAAAACTGGAAAAAACAAGATTTACGGACAGATTTTTGTAGCTGTTTGAGAGATCTGTATGAGATAATGACTGTTTCTGCAGGGTAACTCCGGAAATGTTTCTGTTCATTCAGCCAATTTCTCACATGCTTTATAAGCAGGTGAGTGTACCCACCTTGCAGTTTGTAGATAGCAGTGTGGTTTTGAATTCCCTTGAACACCCCACAAAGATGTACAATCCATTTTAGCATACAGGTAATGTTTTGCTCCAAGTGCATTTCTTATCACTGCATGCTACATGACATTAGAATTATTATTAAAATATTTCTGTTAACTTCTCTATCTGATTTAGCAGAGCCCACAAGGGCAGGCAACTGGGAAAGCATGAGATTTTATTGTATGTCTTCATAATGAAAGTAATTTTATAGTGAATAATTAATTTCTTATATAAGATAACAGTAAGTTAAGAGCAAAGAATCAAAGGTACCATGGTCTTGATGTGATACTGCAAATCCTATTGCAGATAACATTGTTGTCTGAAATCAAAGATATCATAAATTCACCAGGAAAAAAAATAATATCTGTTTTGGATTATCTCCATTTACCTGAGCTCTTGCATAATTTTGTATTGTGGTAATGATTCGCAGTTCAGAAAATGCTGTTTTCTTCCTTAATAAGGCTTTTTTTCTGACACCATTGTGTTACAGTGGCAGCGTTTGTATATACTTGTTGACTGAACTGCTCCAAGGGTAACAGTTTTAATAGTAACAATGTTATTGTTAAAGAAGCAAATTAAAAAGTCAATTGAATCTGATTTTATTTACATGTATATCTCCTTACAAACTAGAGGCCCAGCTTTGAAGATGCTTTGAAGAAGAACTTCAAAGAAGTTATTCTGCATTTTGTGTTGAGATATGCATGCAAATAAAATCAGATTCTTCTTTCTGAACACCCTATTCAATTAACATGAGATGGCAAGTCAGTTGTAAAGGCTTCCAAGACAGTGATGAAAGTACCTTGTTCTTTGGCATCTATAATTAATCTCGGATGTATTTCACAGATTGGCACCTTGTACTCATGGAAGCATGACATTACTATGGCATCACATTCCAAAAAAGAATCATAAAATGGTTTGGGTTGGAAGGTACCTTAAACATCATCTACTTTCAACCCTCCTGCTGTGGGTAGGGACACCTTCCTCTAGCCCAGGTTGCTCAAAGCCCCATCCATCCTGGCCTTGAACACTTCCAGAGACAGAGCATCTACAACTTCTCTGGGGAACCTCTTTCAGCGTCTCATCCCCTCACATTAAAGAATTTATTTCTAATGTCCAATCCAAGTTTGCCCTCTTTCAGTTTAAAACCATCTCCCCTTGTCTTATCACAGCATGCCCTGGTAAAAAGTCCCTCTCCAGATTTCTTGTAGGTCCTTTTTAGGTACTGGAATGCTGCTGTGAGGTCTCCTCAGAGCCTTCTCTTCTCTAGGCTGAGCAAGCCCAGCTCTCTCAGTTGTCTTCATAGCAGAGGTGTTCCAGCTCTCTGATCATGTTTATGGCCCTCTGCTGGACTTGATCCAACAGGTCCATGTTCCTCTTGTGTTGGGGGCCCCAGAGCTGAACACAGTACTTCAAGTGGGGTCTCACAAGAGCAGAGTAGAAAAGGAGAATCACTTTCCTCAGCCTGCTGGTCACACTCCTTTTGATGTGGCCCAGCATGCAACTGGCTCTCTGGGCTGCAGGAGCACACTGCCAAGTTGCGTTGAACTTCTCATTAAGAGCAGTGAAGAGCATAGTCTGTGACATACCTGTGCAAATGAAGTGAAGCACTTGTTTATGGTATACAACTAGCAGCATAACAATGTATGTGTGTATCAGCCAGTTAAATGTGCAGAACAATACAGCAAAGTTGAAATCATATATAAAGAAAATTAACAGTGGATTAATATGGATGTAGAACTGTGTGGATTAGGCCCATCTGTATTCTGCTTTACAGAATAATGACAGATATGCTCTCAAGAAATGTCACTGAAAATGTGTCAACATGTATACTTACACTGTATCTCTGTACATACATGCACTATGATTTGGCTAAGCGACGGAGTATATATAAATATTTAGACTTCTATATTGTCACTAACCAGTTTCCACATCTCTAACATGAATAGTCCATTGAAGTCAATACTATTACATATGAGAGCAAGCAGTTTAAAACCTCCACCAGTATTATGTGTGAATCCAGTCTCACCTTACTGAAAAAAAAATCAGTTCTTGGTTAGCTACCAAAGCATTACATGTGTGACCTGCTTAAAAACTAAACAAATCTTCTGCCAGAATGTGGATGCTGAATAAGCCATCTCCTTGCATCAGCAGTATGGTGATTTAGTCATCCACACTGTAGAAGAGGGGAGG